GCATCTAGAGGGTAGAGGCCAGGGATGCTGCTAAGCATCCTATCGTACCCAGGCAGTCCCCACAACATAGACTTATCTGGCACCATATGTCAGTAGTCAGGTTGAGAAACCATGATTTAGTTATAGCTTTAAGTATTCTTCTAATCTAAGGTAACATCTTCATGGAAATATTTATAGAAATTGCTAATTCCGAGTATTTACTGTATGTAAATACTTAACAAAATCAATAAAACGTTTCCAGTTTCCTGAATAAAGTCCATTAGTACCCTGTGCAATAAAATATTAGATATGTAGAACTACCAATTTGAGTATGCTGATACTCATACTTTTAGTAGTTTTTAGAGAAGTAGATTGTAATGTTAGTTTTACAATTTTCAGGTGAACATTATGCTAAAAGAAGACTATTCAGGAAACACACACTTTTTCAGTTAAGAAGGCATCGGTACACCTGAATAATACATTGCTTGAATGGACACCAAGTTATTGTCTTTTGTTGTGGTGACCTGCAGTTAATGCTGGCATTAGCTTTCATCTCATATATTTCATCATGAGATTGACCACTCAGTCACAGCAGAGCCTGCATCAGTCTCATATCTGCTGAAGAGTTTTCAGGTGGTGCCAAAGTCTGAGGAGCTGCCTTCTTCACAAATTGTATAACTTCATCCACAGACCAATGTGGAGGCTGTGGTGGAAGCTTGCTTCAGTACTCTGAGGTCAGCTCCAGTCATAAACTGAGACTTCGCTTCTCCTCAGAAAGAACCCCAGGGACAACTGAAGAAGAGCCCTCCCCCATTTCACATCTGCTAACAGGCTGTGTGCAACTTGCCTGATGCTGTACTGGACCCAGCTCCAACATGGAATGTAAACTCTGGACCCTTGTTCTAATTATAGTTTGACCGAAACCCCAGCTACACTTCTTCCATATGTAGATTATGGAAAATAGGACATTAGAAACCCAGAGGTGTAATTCCACAGAAATAAAGCTTTCTAGCATATCTCATCCTACCACAGGGGCCTCTGGAAATGCTTATTCCAGTGGTACCCCAAGAACCCCACTCCCACTAGCAATGGGGAAAGAAGAGGCAGACTTTTCTCCATGACACTTCTTGACTGAATGGAAAACTGTCCACGGTAGAAATCAATGACAGTGTATTTAGCAGTGGTGATGAGCTTGATGTGGTTGACACAGGCTGAAAAGAATTCCTTTGGTAAAGGTAAAAGCTTATGGAATTTCTCCAGGCTGGGCCTGGAGAGGTAGCTGGTTGAATAAGCAGGTGTTACCAAAAGCCTTTGCTCTCAGACATGAGGGATGTCATTTCCTCCTGAAACAGTAGTTCTACATCTGATGGGAATGGCTCTATTGTGAGTGCTCAGGGGAGAGAGGAATAACATAAAGTGGAGGCTGATGAGAACGTCATTGGGCACTTCTGTTCCCTGATGTGTGCCTTTTGATGATTTATTTTTGTCATTTTTATCTTGAGAAAGTGTTTTTCACTGAAGGAAGATGGACAGAGTATGTTCCCACCAGAGGAGGCAGCAGCAACGTCTTCTCTAGGGGGGAATCCCTAAATGGTCCATCCTGTAAGGCACAATCCGCATGGGTGTGTGTAGCCCACCAGTGCACCCCACCCCTGGGGCCCCATCAGCAAGTGTGGGCAGCTGTGGGGCTCTCTTCTGATCCCAGTGAGCAGTAGAGCTTCCCTGTTTGCTTCCAGAGACACAGACTGCAGACATCACTGCGGTGGTTGTCTCAGGATTGCCATCTTAACCAAATGGCAGACCAGTGGCTCTGTCTAGCAACTTTACACAAGTTGAGATGTAGGAGAGTTCTTCTCTAGCTATCAAATGTGATTTAAACTTTATGTCCTTCAGTACCTGCAATGCAGATCACATTTATTGCTTTATTGCTTCATTTCATTCCCACATTAAATTATTTAAGACTGGCTTTGGTAATTCATTCTTAATGTCAAAGTTTTGACTTCAGATCCATTCGTAGTTCACAAGAGAAACACATTCATTTGGAATTCCCGGGAAGGCTGAAGTAAAAGCCCTCTTTCCCTCTGCCCCTCCACATGTGCTAACAGGCTGTGTGTCTGAGAAATCTATACGTCTCTTAAAATCATTTCTGTTGCCACTGCTATCCAGAATTAACTATAATTTGATACCTGTAATTCCAATGACTGTGCAATATATGCTTGAAGCAATACTGTTAAAATAACATACTTCTCCTTTAAACCAACTTTGAAGTTGTTAGCTTGAGGAATCTTGGACTGTGTTAAATACTGTAAAGGAGCACAGGCCCTAGTGTGTTAATAAGCAGAGCTCTATTTGGAGCTGTGATCAAGATGGCTAAAAGTGCTATTGTCATCACATCCTTTGAATATGGTTCCAAATGGGGTGAGCTGATTCTTGCAGTTTCTAGAGCCAGAGAACCTAACACAGCCTGGAATGTAGCTTTCGGAATCCATGAGAGAGCCATAAATATTTCCTCCTTAAAATTAAAACCAGAAAAAGACATCAATAAAAATATAAAAGAAACTTAAACCAATAATGCCAAATGCATACAAGCAATAGAAATACTAATAGCATCTGATTTAAGAGCTGCAACAGATACTTCCAATCCAACCAAGCCAAAAAAAAAAAAATGGGTTGAAAAATATCTCATGCAAATGAAGTAATTTTTTGGACTCCAGTCTTATCTGTGGTCCAATTGACTCCTATAATGAAGGTCAACATTACTGTGCATAATTCTCCAGCTCCATGTATACTGATTGCTATTGCTAAGATGGCAGAAACACACAAACTCAAAATCAGGCATGTTTTCTTCATTGGAAGATTTGTCTGATCTTCACTTGGAAAATATTAAAGAAAATTTCCCAAAAATGTTGCTAGTAGCACACCAATAATTATGTTAGGAGATTATGAAGTATGCCACCTCTGGAGAAGACTATGCTCATGAATGTACTGAATCCAGTGATAGCCATGATGTCTTCCAAACTGCTAGCAACTATTAGTAAGGTTGGAATGCCTTTCTCAGTACCATATCCTTCTCCTTGCAAATGTAGCGTGGAAGGGACAACATCAGGAGAGATAGCACCTACCACAAAACCTAAAAGAAACCCCCATTCCCAGGGAAAATTCATAAGGAAGATGGAAATAACAGCAGTTGAACATGCCTCCATGAGGCATAGACCCATGGACAATCTTAAACAAACTCTTTTTAAATGCTTCAAAGCCTGTGGATGGAGTCCAAGTCCAGGTTTTATTAGGATAAGGGTAAGGGCAATATTCCTTTAAGTTGAAGACCACTTGTTACTAGTATGGATGTACTCACTGATATATGGAGCATTCCTAATGGTAAAACCAGCTAATAACATCCCAGAAGAAGGTGAAAGTGGAAGCACTGAAGGTATTCTAATGACTTCCAAACGTTTTCCCCCAATTAGGTAACATTAAAAGACAATGAAGAGTACAAATAAATTTTCATCAGAGATTGACCAGATTGTAAACCATATCATAAAAAGTAAAACTCCACAAAATCTGGCAGGAGTAGCAGGGGCTAGCAGACCCTAACTGGGGAGAGCCCGAAACCCGAGTATGCGCCCTGACCAGGAATTGAACCATGACTTCTTGGTGCCCGGGTCAGTGTTCAACCACTGTATCATACCAGCTGAGCAATTTCTTATTTTCTAAGCTTTATGTTTTTTTTCTTGCTTTTTGCATATATAATAACATGTTGAATTTTATAAACATTCACAAATGGGTATTGAACTTTGTCAAATATTTCTTCTGTAAGAAAAAATTAAGCTCCTACTAAAAGCTTGTGCAGACAGAGCATCAAATTTGAGAAATAGTGCTTACTTATTCAATCTATCCCCTACCCCACAACCACATACCATGACTGAGGTGTATATGTGGATTCTGAGTAAAATCACCACCTGGTTAGTGACAGAGACTTACAGGGCCCAGACACAAACCTCCCGATGTTCAAGCTCCTGTTCTTTCATCAGCACTATGGTGGCGGCAGGGTAGTTAAACATAAGAATTCTCATAGCAATGCTTTTATTTTTTTATTTTTATTTTCATTAATAAAATGCACACATATTATACTGAATAATAAAATCTGATGGGACAGAAGAATCATCAACTTTTAAGGTGGGAGACAACATAAAACATTGGCATTCCTTGTGACATACCATTTTTCAATTAAATCACAGTTTTAGAAAATAGTTGAAAAATGCCTGAAAGAAAACGTGTTATTTTAAAGTTAAGGTGCACATGTATGTAAACCTAATGAAAATGCTTGAAAGAAACATTTCAATCCATGTTACATAATTTTTTTATTAAGTGATATATTTATGGAAAAGAGTTGAAAATGCCTATCAGAAACTAGGAACTATTCAATCCCACAATTTTAATCTTTTCAAGCATGTGATATATTTGTGAAAAATATGCATGATATTTTTGAAATATGCATGATAAAAGAAGGGTCATGTTAACCTAATCCTACTTTTCAGTCACTAGCGATAGAGGAAAAGCAGTTGAAAAATGCCTGCCAGAAGAGATGACTATTAATCCCTACACTTGAAAACCTGCATCTCAGTATGGTTAAACACACAAAACAATGACCAAGGGACAAGAACTCTCTCAAAGCATACCAGATAACAGTTACAGAGTACTTTTGGCTTCAAGCTTTTGCTAAAAATATTTTACATTATTAAATGTATATTATTAAGTGTACACGGAAAGCTAACTGAAGTGACAAATAATACGACTCAGGGACAGTTTGTAACAAAAGTTGTTAAAGTCCATTAATTTTTTTCCCAAGAAAGGCAAGTGAGGTAGTTTATACTGTGTATACATTATAAAGAAATTAACATTCCAGTTTGTTTGAAGGTCATCACTCCAAAAATTATATCCCCAAGTGAGCTGCTTAGCAAACGGATCCTCTTTTGCAGAATAAAGGAAAAAGTGAGCCAGTTCTAGTGAGTGTGTGTGTGTAAACGAATAAGTGTTCCTAAAATGTTAATTTTCTCTAGTTCTTTCCTGGATATTATTTTCCTAACTGTACACCAATGGCAGTAGGGGTGAGGTGGGGTGTGAAGGCATTAAAAACAGAATTGAAAAGCCCAGTCTGATGGCTTTTGTTTGCAAATATACTACTCATTTTTACAGATTACCATAACTATTTTAAAACAGCTCTTGATAAGGCAAGACTAGTTTTTCAATACTTATGTGGCATGCATTTTTAAATTTCAATTGTAAGGGTTTGTTTACTCTTTAAAGATAAAATTAGTAAAAACAAAAACAAAACAAAAAACAAACCCTCTTTATTCACATAAAATTCGTCTGTGTGTCTACTGAAAATTCTTCTCTAATCAGTTAGCCCTATGACTAAGAATAGAAGTTATCATTGGATAATGCTATTGGTATTGACGTGGCCTTCTATATAATAGTTATTTGAAAGTTGTCACAGATCCTTGAATACTCTAATGATTAGAGTGATTAATTTAAAGTAATTGACTCAGTTAAGTCTCTGACCTATGAAAACACACAAAGTGGCTAAGAAATTCAGAAACTTACTGTTTTTACTTGTCATCTGTTAGCTATTTATTTAAAACTGATGACAAGTGAGGTAAATCTTGAAATCCTTAGAACTTCTGTATAGGTTCTAATGCATTTTCAGTCAAAAAAAAAGAAAATTCCTAAATAAAAAACTGAATGACTAGGTGCATGGATTTTCTATATAAACAATTTATTCTAAATGATAAGAAATACAATGAGATAAATCAATCATTATTTTCATATATACATAGAAGTGTAAGGTAGTTAATTTGAAGAATTTCTTCCATGTGTGTAGGTATATATTACTGCCATCTTATGTCTTGGAACTTAGCAACAACATCAAGTGAAATGTTTATTCCTGTTGTTTAAATTGCAAAAATGATAAAAGCATTTTTTCAGACTCTTGAAATTCATTATGTAAACTCATATGTCATCAATTACCCACATACCAAAAGCTAATGAAATGTAAGTCTAAACTTACAGAACATGCTTCTTTCCTAATGCGTTTTCAGGAAAAGGAAATGAGAATTCTCAAACAAATAAAATGAATAGATATTTGAGTTTTCTACAAAAATGTAACAAAATCTTAATGACCAGAAACTGAATTATCTACATGTAGAATATAAGCAATGTTTTTATAGACATCAAGGCATAATGCAGCATATAAAAATTTCTTATATATGTGGGCTTTAATTATTATCACATTATGTTTTGAGACTTGGTAAGCAGATATGTTTTCTGCAATTGTGAGCAATTTTGTCTCTTGTTTGAACTGCAAGAGAGTCATTTGAGTGTCAAAGCTCATTAAAACTGATATAAAGGCAACAAAATACCAATCTGGGGATTCTAATCCAAAACATGTGGGATAAATGAGACGTCAGCCCCATTTCTAGCTCACCCCAGAAGGACTATATCTGCATTCTCAAGATGAAAGGCAGAGCTGTCTGACCCTTCTGCATATTTTAGATTTGCTTTCAATTACAATCCCGGGGACTGTGTGTTCTTATCAATTTCAGGTCTAAAATGGCTCCACAGGATCTTGATAGTGAGACAGTTTTCCGCTTACAAAATATGCATCTGATTTAAAAACCTGATACTAATCCCCAGTGCTTGGCCATGACTATGATTGATGAACAGAAACAAAACCTGCTTTTACAGCATGAAAATCTGAATGTAACGGTATTTTTAAGCACTCTTGGATAAAGACAGTTCTGTATTTTTGAGCGGGGGGTTGCAGGAGTGACTATCTACAGTTGTAAAATATAAAAAGTGATATGTTTGATCAGAAAAGGAAATCAATGCCCGGCACATGGAAAGCTATTCATTGAGCACCATAATCATGAAGAGAAAAATAGAGGCTCTATGACTTTTGACTACACAGAAGGTTATGAGAACACAAGAATACCCTTGGTCAAACTAAGCTTGCTTAGGGGGCCCTGTGCTCATAAGGGAATAAGCTTTATAAAAGTAAGTTTTCACCAGTCCAAGAAAAAGAAATGTTCATTTGCACCAGAATGCTGATTATCATGATACAGTACAACGTACATAATAGTACAGTGTCTTTAAACAGAAGTGTCTCCTTCTCCAATTCAGGAGTAAGTCAGAGCATAAATAGTGTAGTGTAACTTTAGAAACTGATTCCACTGGAAAGTAGAGCTGAATTATTTTATAGAGTGGAAGTTACTGATATTTCTGGCATTCTTGCTTAAACAGGACAATATATGTAATATATAGCATATGTATAAAAAAGTCTTTTTCCCCACCTCTTGTGTTTGGTAGCATTTGCTACACAGAGAGCTGTTTCTTATCCTTAGATACAGGATCAAGTTCATTTCTGCTGTAGCCAACAGACTAGCAATGGTCAGAATTACTGTTCTCGTTGGGTCTCTCTTCAAAAGGATCATGACTTCTTACTTGCACCCTCATCAAGGAACTGTCATGAGAAAGCTTTAGTTCAAATGGTTAGCCATATCCTCTTCCATAGTTCACGCTGACAATGCTGGGCGACACAACTTAGGCTGAGAAACACCATGAGGGTTATAGGAAGAAACATGTCAAAAGCAGCCTTTTTCATTAACCCCCCTACTTAATGTAGAATTTTCTTGGCATATTAAACATAACAGCTGCCATCTTAAGGGTATTTCAAAAACTTGATTGGGGTTTAATGACCCATTCTGCTTGAGGATTTACATGATATACATCCAATATGTAAGCTTCTGGATCCAAGCAATGCTGTCCTAAGGAAAGAGAAAATCAGAGCATGTTTTTAAGAGTGAGCACTTGTGTGTGTATGTGAGTGTGTGTGTGTGTGTGTGTGTGTGCATGTATGTGTGAGTTTGTAAGGTCTCAATAAGGCTAATATAGTTCTCTTAGCCAAAAGTAAGTACACTAAGCACTTTCCTTACCATTTTTAGAGTTGAGCATGTTAAGTTATGAAATACTGCCATGCCCTTACTGATCACTGGACAAGCAATAAACAAAATATATAATGAGACAAAAAACTTATATGGCAAACGTCAGTGTACTTACACAAATCTAGAAAGGATAGCCCACTACTGTAATTATATTTGCTATGTTTTTATATGACTGGCAGCACTGGCTTGTTTACACTGGCATCACCACAAATACATGACTAATATGTTCGGCTATATATGACAACTGTAATGTCACTAGGCATTGTAAGAATTTTCCTGCTCCAATATAATCTATTGGGACCACCATCATATTAATATATGCAATCAATTGTTGACCAAAAACATGACTATAGAAACATTTTTTTTGGTAGATACATTTTAAAGATTTCTATCAAAGCTTGCCTGTCTTCCTTCCTTCCCTCCTTTCCTTCTTTGTTTCTTCCTGGCTGTTAAGTACTTAAAAATAAATCCCATGCGAAGTTGTGGAAAATACAGTCATATCATCACAGGCAAATTGTTTCCTAGACTCACCACATCTATTAGCAACAATATGGCAAGGACTTGTTTCAATTATAAAATGATCATTTATGTAATACAAGTCCTCTAATGGTTTTACAGATAGTAACTTGACCAGGAATAGAGAAAATTAAAAAGCAAGTTCATTTTAATTTCTTTATGATGGATGCAATGCCCATAGGCGGAAGATCTGGAAATAACAACAAAAAGATCATTCTAAGCGATAAGATACATGTGAAAAATTTTATATACAGTGTGTTTGAAATGCATATTAAATTCTCAGGCAAAATTACCAAGATCTGACTGCTTGTTTGTGTCATTCATTTACCGAATATTTTTTGAGTGTGATTATGTTCCAGAAACGGTTCTTGGGCTGGGGCTACAGCAATGCATCTGCTTTGGATTTACATAATATACATCCTATGGATGCTTATATTCTAAAGTGGTAAAAGCAATCAGTAAATAGGCTAGTATAATGTAAAGCAGGTCTGGTAGTGATGAGAACATTAAAGAACAACCAAGCACAGAAGGAACATAATGAAGATATAATCCAGGAAGGTCTCATTGAAAAGGTGATATTTATCAAAGGCCTGCATGAATCAAGGGAGCAAGGAATGAACAATCTGACAGAGAGTTTTAGGCAAAAGTCAACAAATGCAAAGATTCAAAGCAGAATGTGCCCAGTGATTGGATACACAAGGTTGGTGCTTGAGGGAAAGTCTGGATGTAAATGTCAGAGGCATCAACATACAGATATATTCAAAGCAATGAGGTAAATTGAGCTTCCCAAAGAAGTGTAGATAAAGAAGAGGTGGAAGGACAGAACCCTACAGCTCTCTAATCTTAAGAGCCTGAGAGGATAAATAATGGGCACAGGACATCCATGAGCAGCCAGCGTAGTGGGAGGGAAGCCCGAAGCTTAGGTTGTCTTTGAGACCAGATGAAATGTTTTTCAAAGAAGGGAAAGATCAACTCAGGTAGTTATAAAGACAGGCTGAATTGTTGGACTTCACAAGGTAAGAGTTCTCCGGTGATCTAGACAAGAGAGCAATTTTGATTTAAGTGTTGAAAGCTAAAGCATGACTGGAGTGGTTTCAAGAGGGAACAAGAGGAAGAAATGGAAGTTTAGACAACTGATTCTAGGAATTTTTGCTGTAAAGTAGAATAAAAATGGGCATTGACTGGAAGGGGATCAAGAGAGAATTTTGTAAAAATGACAGACATGCCCTGGCTGGTGTGGTTCCTGGCATGCACTAAAGATTGGCTGTTCTATTCCTGGTCAAGACACATGCCTGGGTTGCGGGCTTGATCCCCAGAAAGGAGGTATGCAAGAGACAGCCCATTCATGATGTTTCTCATCCATGTTTCTCTCTCTCTCTCTTACTTTTTTCCTCTGTCTCTCAAATCAATAAAAATCAAATTTAAAAAATGAGAGACATTACCAAATTTTTATGTAGATAGAAATGATGCAGTTGGAGGGAAAGTTGATGATACAAGAGAGAATGGGGGAATACCTGGATCAAGGTCCTAACTGGGCAAGGGGACATGAGTGGAAGAGATGGCCTTAAATAGAAGCACAGATATTTCCTCTGGACTGTGAGGAAGGCAAGCAGAAGACACAGACACAGAAGATATGGGTACAGAAGAAAGCAGAGGGAATTTTCTTTAAATTCCTTTTTCACCATCAGGGAAACAGGAAGAATGAAGTTGGCTGCTAGTGAAAATAGAGAAGTTAATTAAATGTTTCATGGTGTTCTTTCCTTTTTCATAAATCTCCAGAAAGAGATTTTCCAACTTTGAGGCACATTTAAAAGATCTAAAAGTCTACTCTATATAAACTAAAATATTCACATTTAAATTCTGAAAATGTATTAGGAAAGTCATACTGTTTTCACATAAGATTAAAATATCAAAAAGTCACTGATTATGAGTTTATATATAAGAAACTTATAAAATATAATTTTATAATAATAGCATCATATTTCTTTTAGAGCAATCAGAGAATTTAGGAATGAAAATGTTAAAGAATCCTTACCTATATTTCCTCCAATTTCATATAACCTTTGGTTCTGAATTTTAATGCATTCTGAAGAACTGTGACTAAAAAAAGAGAAAACAACGTAAGTTTAACCTTTTCATAATCAGAGGTTAATCTGTAGATTAAATAACCATGGCAGCAAACAATTTATTCTGCCTTGAGTAAAACACACCCCAGAAATCATTATGACTGAAGTTATGATAAAAACAATTTTCTGTTTGACACAGACAAGCATTTGAAGCACCCAGAGGATGGATGCTACGGGGCTTCCACAGCCACTGGAGCCCATTTATCCACAACTGTCAGCTCCTCTTAAGGGAGGTAACTGCTACTGACATATCACATGGGCCAAGGAGCAGCTGGGTGCTCCATTATGCCTAGTCATTGGTCCCATCACTCTTAGTTCAAAAAAAGTCAGGTTTCATTTCCATATTTGCCAAAAACTGAATGGGATTCTCTCCTCAGCCCATGTCACATTTCTAAGGTTGGCTAATTAATGCTTTGCTACTGTCTAACATTTCATTGCATGACTTTGCCTTATAATAAAAGCAAGTCAGAGAAAATGATTGCCCAATGACATTTTTCTACCCCAGCCTAGAATGCTGGGGTAGAAGAGTCTGGAAAGACCATTTCTGATCTCTATCCCACTTCAGGAATGACTTTCAGCTTGATTTCTCCAAAAATATTGTTCTCACTCTATCATGAGGAAGAATATGTACATTCTCATTTGTTTAATTAAACTTCTTGATATAATTGTAAATTTGCATGTAGTTGTAAGAAATAATACAGACGGATCTTATGTATCCTTTACCCAGTTTCCTCTAACGGAAAAGTGTTTAAAGACTAGTGCAATATCACAACTATGTTGCTAAGTGATTCAGTCAAGATATGGAACATGTCCTGGCTAGTGTTGCTCAGCAGTTAGAGCGTCAGCCCACACACATAAAGTTCACAGGTTCAATCCCCAGTTGGGGTGGCAGGCAACCAATCCATCCATGTGTCTCTCTAACACTGATGTTTCTCTCTCTCTCTCTCTCTCTCTCTCTCTATCTCTCTCTCTCTCTCGCCCCCCTGTCCCCGCCTCCCTCCCTTCTACTTTCTCAAAAAATTAATGAAAAAATTATCCTTGGGTGAGGATTAACAACAACAACAACAAAGAGAGTACATTTCCATCACCACGAGATCCGTCCTTTCCCCTTTAGAGTCACCCCCACTCTCTCTTCCTGTCCCTATCCATAATCCCATCTGCTATCCCTTTATCCACATTTCTATAAATTTGTCACTTGAAAATGTTATGGAAATGGAAATGGAAATGTACAGTATGGAATTCTTTTGTATTAGCTTTTTTCCATGGGTATAAATCCCTGGATATTCATCCAAGTTGCTGACTTTTACTGCTGAGTAGTGGTTCTAATTTTTCAAAAAGGCCAAATTTGTAAATTCCTGAAAAGTTACTCTCTGATAAAAATTCATCATCTTTGTACAGAGACCTTTATTCACATTTACTCACCTGTTCTCATATTGAAATTTTGCCAGTATGTCTTTGGCTTTGGTTTGACTACTGAGCTGAATGGCCATGGAAACCTTCGAGAGACGTGGAGCATGGACCCTTATGACGCCTTCTGGCACATCAGACTGACAATGAGAAAAAATTCAGTACATTCTGTCAAACTAGGATGAACATCCATCAGTTTAATTATTGCACTTAAGAGATACAAAAACCAGTGGCACTCTGAACTAGAAAAACAGGTAAACATGACTAATATATTTAAACAGAATGAAACACTGCTTTCTTTTTAACAGAAGATTCAACAACATTTAACCTAGAATTTTACTGTCACCACAAGCTTAGGTCACATATAAAGCCTTAAAAATCATGAGAGGATTAGAACTGAGTTATAACAAAACAACTAAAGTTTCTATTACTGCATTTCCTTGAACAATGTTCTAAATAAGCCTACTGTAAGCAGAGTTCTATATTTTAATATATTTTAATATCAACCTGAAAAAGTCAAGGATCGATTAGGAAATATGTCTTTTTAAATATCCCCTTGCTTTAGTCAGCCCAAAGATAACTCCAGATGGACACTTGAGACTTGATCCATGTGTGCTAATAACGCTGTGAAGGGCAGACATGGTCTGCTACTGGGAAAGAGAATGTCTCTGTTTTATGTAACAGAATTGGCTTGGGGACTCCCATTTAAATGTTAAAAAATGTTGCTCTCTAATTAATAGAAATTTCTGTTTTGTCAGGATTGACTGGAAAATTCCTTTGTTTCAAAAATTTGAGTGTTTTAATGATTAATTCTCTAACTAGAGATGAATAGACCCTATTTGTTTGAGGGTCTGGCTACTCCTCAGGTAAATCTGTATGTTCTCAAAAGGTGAAATTGTTGATTTACATTTATGTGAATTGATTCAATATTTACCCTAGACAGGATATTAGGTGTTAAATTGCATCCCCTACAAAAGTATGTTGAAGTCCTCACCCCCAATACCTGAGAATATGACCTTATTTATAATGCAATTGCAGATATAATAGCTAAGATGAGCTCATACCAGAATAGAGTAGACCCTTAACCCAGTGTGACTAGTGTCCTTACAAGAGGAGAAGAGACAGGGACACATATACAGGATGAATGCATATCAAGGCAGAGGCAGAGGTTGGAATGCACTGACAATCTAAGGAATGAAAATCTAGAAATGAAGTCAAGAATAGGTTCTGGTTTCATGGCCTTTCAGAAGAAATCAACCAAACTAATTCTTTGACTTTGGACTTTTAGCCTCCAGAACCATGGGGAGTGAATTTCTATTGTTTTACTACTAAGTCATCCAGTTTGTGGTACTTTGTTATGGCGGTACTAGAAAACGAATACAAATTTTAAATAAGGTCGATCTTTATAGGACTATTCTACCGTTCCCAGCAGAACCAGGAGAACATGGTAGGAAATGTACACATAAGATTTAGACTTGGAATTTGGCAGAGTGAACTTGCTTTGTTGCAGCCAAGACTGAATTCTTAAGCTACCCTTGTTCATTTTCATGCCCCGTCCCTTCTAGCTCTCCAGAAGCCTCCGTAAGATAAATTCCATACCCCTGACATTATCGAACCTGTGATCATAAAAAATCACATTTCCATCTAATTTCCACTTGTGTGGAGATGCCTAACTGCACATTTTGAATCATCATTTAGTAATGCTACAAAAAAAATGTCAAGTTTGAAGGTTATATCATGACCAAAATTATACACAGATATTCTGGATGTAGCCAGGGAATACTATGTAGGAAGTTAATAATCACAGATTAAAGGAAATTATTTTTTTTTCTTACCATTCTTCTTAAAGAGGGTGATTTTTGTAGTACCTTTGAAGTCTTGGGGCTTGTAACCTAAATAAAACACATTTAGTTTTTAGGATTAATGTTGGACATGCATATGCTGCTGTTGAAAGTACAAACTGGTACAATCTTTATGGAAAATATTTTGAAATATTTACCAAATTATAAAATAAATATGTACTTTAATCCAGCAATTCCAAATCTACAAATTTATCCTACAAATACTCTTCATTTTTAAAAAATGACAGAAAACAAGTTTATTCACAGATGTAAAACTCTTAATAGCAAAAGACTGGACACCATCTAACTGTTCAATAATATGGGGTAGCTTAAATAAATTATGATATGTCGTGCAAAAGAAGCAGAGAAGAAGGCTTTGTGGACCAATGTGGGATAATCACCAAGATGCGGGACAGTGTTTTATGTGTGTTGTATCATTCATGGGAAAAGGGGGGAGGACATTTACTCATCTCTGCTTGTATGTGCAGAGTTTTCTCCAGAAGTAAAAACTGTAACACTTGCATCCTTGTTTATTATTACCTCTCGTTCTATGGTCTTCCTCCTTAGCAACTTTTTGACACTTGGGAGCTGCTTCTTTAACAACATGGTGGCCTCATTCATTCTTCGGACTTGGTTGATTAAGAAAGATGGGACCTGGAGAAGAAAAATAGCTTGACCTAAAGGAAAACCCTTGAATTAAACCTTCCCACTAGATTCTGTCTTCAGTTATGATAATTTATAGCCACTCAGTGTACTGTGGCATTTGTCCTTGTAAAAATTAGAAAAAACTATTATTATAGAATTCATATTTAAAAAGAGAGGACAAGTTCAGGAGCAGCTCTCAAAAAAAATGCATAATGATATTACAGGTAACCTGGGATTATATTCTCATATTTCCTCTCTATGATGAAGGGCATTGCTTCCTCATGGAGCCATTGTTTCCTGGGTGCTGGTAAACTTCAAAGTATTTAATACATTAAGGTTATCTATTACTCACCTTCCACAGAATTTTCTGGTAGTTAAGCATTAGGCGGATGATGTGGGCTGCAGTGTTTGCTAAGCGTAATTCTTCATAGTCAGAATGCTTGCTTCTACTGAAGAAAAGGTTTGGTGCCATTATAGTAGAAATATTCCATATGCTCATTCGGTTCTTTGATTCATTGGCAATCACTTTATTAAAGAATGTCATTAGGGCCTAAAAAGATACAGCATTGTGTCACACTAATGTAAATTATTAAAAAGCACCAATGATCATCTTCATTTATTTCTGTACCCATTTTCTGTGCCTCAGGAAATTGTCAGATTATTCCCCCAAGTACAGAATGGCTAAATGTCATGCTCCCCTTTACTTGCTTAAAAGTGCTGATGAGAAATGTGAATAGTTTTATATAACTAATGCCCTATTGTATACAGAATCACTATCAAAACAGCAAGAGAAACTTGGATTTTTTTTTTTACCAACATACAGCAACAAAATGAATTTGAAATGAAGGGAGGAATATTTGTGATGAAGAACTATGGAACAGGATTCTATCAAATGTTCTATCACAAGTTAATGGACAAATCACTTTCTGAGTTTAATTTTCCTAATCCATAAAACGACAAGTTCCTATTCTGTAACCTCTAAAATTCAAAGATTGTAGAATTCTTTAAATTGAATTTTCAAATATTAAGGCGTGAACATTTAAAAAAATTAAATCACTGATTTCAAAATTCCTCCCCAAGGACACTCCTCAGATCTTTTGCCACTAGACTGAGGTGGGCAGCTGAGGACCAACAATGAGAAAGTTATAATTTACAACTTACATAATATTCTTGCTTATTTCTGACACTATTCTACTTAAGTCTTCCATGTTTGCTTTTCCTAATCCTAATACTAACCCTCGCCCAGGGCCTGGCACATGGTAGACATTCAATATCTAACAAATTGAATAAATGAAACTAAAATGTTCAAAGAAGACTCCAGGATTTATATTCTATCTTATCTTCCTCTGGAGAACAGCAATGGGATCAGGGAAGGGAAACAGGTTTGCAGCATGCTCGGCTTGTTTTTCACTTGCTTATCATCTGTTTTTCACTTTCCATCTGAGCCATTTCCTCGGATCAACAAGAGCCACCGACAAACCATGAGGTCAATACAACATACCTGAGCTGTGTCTCTGTTGGCATCAGGCAGTGCCATGACCATGAGGTGTAAAGCTTGAAACTGTACTTTGATGTGAGGCCCTCCTAACAAGAAAACAGAAATAACCACTCATTTGGAACACGGCTGATGTATTCTGACAGCATTCCTCGCTAACATCTGGTGGCAGAGGAGGGCTCCTGACAGCTCTCGGTGGTAAGGACTCTGTTTTTGTGCCTCACAATTAAATTTGTTCTTGTGGACAGTCTATCAACTCCCCTCTCACATCCCATGATGCCATTGTAGAGGCAGATGGCCAAGATCCTCAAAATAATTCTGGATTTGTACTAGTATAACATTTCCCATTTCAAAGTACTTTCACAGACCTTGCTTTACTTTTATGCTATAAACAGAAGGCTTGAGACTCAATTCAAGAGAAAATAAATCTTGTTTCCACATAAAGAAGCAGCTAAATAGAATTATTAGGAACATCTGCCATATAAGCGGCTTCCAATCCAGTAAGTACTGCTTAGTCCTTGAGTGACTTTGGGCAGGCTATTTCACCCCTAGTTGCTTCTATTTTATCATTTGCAAAATGTAACTTTTGAGCTGTTATAAAATTTAAATGACTTAAAACTCAAACTCAAAATGGAGTAAAGACTTATACAAAAGACCAGGAACCACAAAAATCCTAGAAGAAAGCATGGCATTGGGTCCTTGACATATGTCTGTCTTGATGATGAATTTCTGAATCTGACACCAAAAGCAAAAGCAGCTGAAAGAAAAATTAACAAATAGGACTATATCAAACTTAAAAACATTTACCCAGGAAAGGATACAATCACAAAATGAAAAGGCAACCTGCTTAAGGTGAGAAATATTTGCATATAATTACATCTGTGAACCATTATATATTAAGGGGCAAATATCCAAAACATAAAGAACTAATACAACTCAATAGCAAAAAACCCCAAACAATCTGATTTAAAAATGGGCAGAACAGTCATTTTTCCAAAGACATATAGGTGGCCAACAGGTACAAGAAAAGATGCTCACCATCATTAATTATCAGGGAAATGCAAATCAAAACACAATGAAATGTTACCTCACACCTGTTAGAATGGCTATTATAAAAAAATACAATAACAAGTGTTGGCAGGAATATGGAGAACAGGGAATCCTTGTGTAGAGTTGGTGGGAACATAAATTGGTACAGCCACTATGGAAAACAGTATGTCAGTGCCTCAAAAAAATTAAAAACAAATGTGTCATATGATGCAGCAATTCACTTTTGGGATTTATCCTAAGAAAAAGAAAACACTAACTGGAAAAGACATATGCATCCCAGTGTTCACTGCACCATTATTTACATTAGTCAGAATATGGAAACAACCCAACTGTCCAGTTATAGATAAATGGAAAAAGAGAATGTGTTACACACACACACACACACACACACACACACACACACACACAGTGGATATTATTCACCCATAACAAATGAAATCTTGCCATTTGCAATAATATGGATATACCTTGAGGGCATTGTGCTAAGTGAAATAAGACAGAGAAAGACTAATAGCATCTGATCTCTCTTATCTGTGGAATCTAAATCTAAAAAATACCCTCCAAAAAACACCTTTAAAAAAAAAAAAAAAAAAAAAACCCACAAATTTATAGATACAGAGGACAGCTTTGGGAAAACCCCCAAACATTACTGAAACCTACTTAAGAGTTTGTGATTTGGGCAATTATATGAAATCCATTTATAAATGCTCAAATTATACTTAAGTGGGATTGTGATCTATGCCCTATCTTTATAGATTTTCCTGGGTTGAATAATTATAGAAATGGCAAGATTTTTGTTACCTATTGAGTCTCTCAGGGGATTTTTTTTTGCCACCAATAATTTTGAAATGTTTGCACCAATTTGCCATTGCCCTTGTGTATGCTTTATGAAGTATGTGGAATAAAGTGCTGGACATTCACTTTGGTGCTGCTGGGTACGTGTTTTGGGACTGTCCCATCTATTGCTGTGTAAGAGACAGTGTTGAGATATCTTCTATTATATGTAGGGACAGATTGTTACATATGAATTAATACCTCTTATTAAAGTATAGATTCATGAAATTAGAGAGAAAACCTTTTAATACCAAGAGCAACAAGATCAATAAAAGGTGCTTTTGTGCATAGTGGTTTATGGATAGAGTAATCCCTTTATCTTAAGAAATGTGGACTTTATGTATGCACGCATATAAGCATAACCAATGGACATAGTAGGGGAGTGAGGGCATGTGCTGAAGGGTTGGGAGTGGCTGGGAGAGGTCAATGAGGGGAAAAGAAGACATATGTAATACTTTAAACAATAAAGAATTAAATTAAAAAAAGAAATAAAGAAAAAATAAATGTGGGCTTTATTTTATAACTAAGATTTCCTTTGTATGTTGGACTGCCTCTAAAAATTCATTTGTTTCTTCTTCATGTGGGGGTATCTCAGAATGTTAGAAAATCTTTTTGTTTTCACATCATGCCTATAGTGGGACATGGAACTCGATGTCAGCCTGCATCCTCCCACCGCTGCCTTTCAGGACTGAAGGACCTAATTCCCAGCTGGCAGCTCTTCCTAGAAAGTGCTCTCCCCAGCTGTTTTGCCTAAGGTCAGGATGTCTTCTGAGGTTCTGTCTATATCCACTCACAGCCTGAGTCAGAATAAAGATGCCCAACTTTCTCACTGTACTGGGAAACAATTCTGAAAGGCCATCCAGCCTCAGAGCTCTCCAGAGGGTTGCATGAGGCCTTGGCTCAGACAGCACCACTACCAGCCTTATATTCTGCCCAATTCTGCTTCCTTTCCCTTCCCTTTCAGAAATGTGGAACCCAAGTGTACACCCTGTTAAATATTCTATACACACTATGAGATACTGCTCATGGGGAATCCAACAAAGCTTCAATCATGAGCCATTTCTAAGGCATATAATCAGCAAAGATGCTAACTTAAAACTTTAAACAAGGTAGCTTCTGTAAACAGAATGCCTGGCATTAAAAAAAAGAAAGATTAAGTAAGTTAATATTGTAGAGTGTTCGTATCAGTGCCTCTAAGTCGTTACCTCTATGGGTGTTTTCTCTGGTTCTGATTAATGACACGTATTCTAGATCTTAAATGGACATTTAGGAAAGGTAATTCTATTTGGATCTCTAGAGATTGTTGACATTTTATTCCTTGACAAGGACAGAAGATGGCGCTAGACATTTGGCATTTATGCTTTTGTTCTTAAAGCCAGCTCTTCCCATTTCAAGGAAGGGATTTTAGCAATTTCATCCACAACTGGTTAACCTACTCCAGCTGTGCTGAAAATGTGGAGTTCACTACAGCATCCAGGTTTTGCTTTGTCTCTCTGTATTCTCCTCAAAAATGGTCTCTTAGTGGGGAGTTGCTGGCAGGAAGCATTATGTTCTAGAATCCCTGGGGAGTTCTTAAGGTGATGAAAAAATCTATGTATAGTCGATGGATGGAAGGCAGTCAGCTGCTTATTGTCACTTAGCTTCACAATACTGGAAACACTCCTGTGACCAGGTCTTGTTACAAGAGGTTGTGTGCACCCAAGTTAGGTACAAATGATGAATACAAATAAACACATAATGAAGGAACAGTTGGAAGGAATATTTATAGGGTTGTGTCATATTTCCTCAGCAGAATCCCCATGTGGATTTCTAGAAACTTGACAAATTTGTAAGCAAAAATGACACAGGTGCAGGATATTTCTGAAAACTGCTAATGCATGCTGACATGAGTTTGACTGAATAACAGGACTATCAGGAGCACATCTCAGTACATATTTAGGGACAAAGAAAGCATTATTTTAATGAGGACAAAGCAGGCTAAGGGCTATAATCTTCCAATACAATCCCCAAAAACCTCTATGGGGGAGATAATAGATGCAGGCTGTATCTCTATCAATTTCAGATAAATTATAAAGTTTCTGTTAAGATCTAAGATCTAAACTGGCAAATAATCCATTTTCATTTTATTTAGGAATCCTGGCCCTATTCTGTTTTATGTTTAATAGTTTGGTACTTAATTCATTTATTACATCCTAGCTAAGTCTTTTTTTGTCCTGAAATCATTATTTCCTTAGAAAGCTATCAAAGTTTTCATGCCAATAGCTCAGGTTTGATTGATGGACTATTAGTCCTTTGATTTTATGGACAACATTTGTTCCAAGTTTGAAAATATAAAGTAATTACCCTAGTGGAAGTGACTCTATATCCTCTATACTGTTTCAGAGTATAAAGAGGGCAGATTTAACACATACCTACATCTATTATATAATTCTTCACTTCAGAAAATCTCATAACAACTAAAGTTTACTCTACTTGGCAAAAAGGATGTATTCCCTGCTGGTAGGAGCCCTGACCTTTGGGCTTTCCTGTAGCGTGGGCTGGTTTCAAATCACTCACTGTAGGGTAGTATTTTTCACTTTGAAAATCATACAAAGAAATGTGGACTCCTCTGTGAGCCTTTTCAGAATACTTTCCAGATCCTCTCTCTTAAATGAAGTGTAGTGGCTGCAGACAGAGAGGGGAGAGCAGAGCAGAGCTGAGCAGCTGCTGCCTCGTTTTTTGGGGTGTGTCCTCTCAGTCTGTCAAAGCCCTTTTCTGTCCATGTAGAATGCAATGTATTTAACAGACTTATACAGTAAGTCATCATATACCATCATCTCATTCAACATCGTTTCATCATAACATTGGTGCGATTCTGAAAGAACTTAACTCTTGTTTACATCAATTAGCCTCTGGTAAAACTGGTTTCCTCATAATTGTTTCACTTCAAGTTGTAGAATCTATCAATGACAAGTGAGGATTTACTGTATATATTTAGGTCTGTGATTCCTGAATTCCTCGGGTTTGTAGTGAAAGCCACACCATCTAGCTCCATTTTCCTTTTCTAAACGTCTCTCTTGTCACATACTCCGAAAAATTCAACCCTTAGGCTGAAGCCATGACAAATCATTCCCTCATTGCCAAACACAACATACCCTCCATTACTATACTTTCATCAAAGCACTCACTTAAGGCATAATCTATGTGTCTTTGTAACTTTTCAGAAGTACTATGTGATCTAATTTTCTAAGAGAAAACACATTCTGTGTGACATTTACTATGTGTTGCATCATCAGGACAGGATTTTAGATGAAAAGAAGAGAGAGGACTGAAGGACTATTACACACTGGACACTATTCTAGAAGTTTTAACCCAATAGCCACAATGCTGACACACAACTATTAACTGCAGTTTACAGGCACACTGATGAAGCCCAGAAAGGTTCATTGTATGGCTAACAATTGGTTGAGCAGGAATTTAAATCTCGAGAGTCTATTCCTTCAGCAAACCCCCCTACCTTTTAATGACTATAAAATTCTCTAAATCATATCTACCAGATTAATTATGTAAAGAGATGATTGCTTACCAGCAAACATAATATTTCACCAAGCATTGCCAGGAAAGAGCAAATATACACTTCGGATCACATTTTATTTTGTATCTTTCTTCTACTCTAAGCCACTTAATTGACCTTATATCTTAGTCCATTCACACTTAACATCTTCTACCTACTTTCCATTAGCGTGATGAAGGCAGGTATGTATTCCACAGGGAAGAGAGAAGTGGGTAATTCTCTGAAAAAGGCTTTCAACATCACTGCAGCTTCTCTATGGCACATTTTGTCCCATTTAAATTTGTCGGTATTAAACTTGGCATCCAGTTCTTCACGGTATTGCTGAAAATCAACGAAAACAGTCAATATTTAATGAGCTTTTACCACCGGACCCCCTCCACTCCACTTTGAAAGCTGTTCTCACACAAACTATTAAAAAGCCTAACTTTTCCCAAAATGATTAAAGAATTGAAAGTTATTTCTGAATTAATTTTTACAAATGGTTTTCTAGAATCTTTTTGAACAATGTTAATCTTAAAATCATTAGCTAATTCTACACAAATATAAGAATTTTTCCTCAGGTCATAATTTCATTTATGTGGTTTTGGCAGAACGCCACATATCCCTTCATGATAATGCAGTTAGACTGTTAGATTTTGACAAAGACTCCATTTCTTTTCTATCTTGCTCATCTAGAGTTTCTAAATTAGATCATGAATGTATGCCTCTCAGTTAATTCACATCCAGAGTAAAGAAACTCTGATCTCATTCAACCTACAAACCAATGACATCTTCCTGAAGCAGTTATGGCAAAGTTTTAAGCCAAGACATACATATGTCTCCCACATGTGTGCATGCTTATGAAGGTTTGGAACACTGTGTAAATACTTTAAGAAACAAAACACTCAGCCTCCTTAAGTTCTACTTAGGTTATACATTTATGTTATCAATTCATTTGATTAGTGCCACCAATTCTTCAAGTTTCTTTTCAAAGTCAAGCTCACTTTCTACTGCTTCCTTCACCTACAGATGTTACTATTAATAGCAGATAGTTAAGTCAATTCCCTGATTGACC